GAAGCGTGGTAGTTTACAAATAGGTGGACGAAGCAGACTTGTAAGCAATAGGAAACAAAATAATTCCATTCAGTAGGCTGGCTCTGATATTGTGGCAGGGCATGCTCATCCCCTCCTTCCTCTCTCCTGGGATACAGACAGGTTAATACAGGGAGGCCTTGGTACGAGATAAAGGCTATTAGAGCAAAGCATGCCACAGCCCTTTGCTTCTTTCAGTCAATTAAGTCAGTCAGCCAAGATCTACCATCATCTCCCTGCAAATTCAAATCTGATCCTGAAAAGATGCTTTTTCTGCTGACATTTTACTGTAAAAGCAGCATATTTCTGAGATCCAGACACATTAACCTAATGTTGACCTTATACATCAAATTAAAAAGCAGAAAATAAAGCCACGTTTGTGCTTTTCCCTCAAAATAATGTTTCCTGGAGAAAGCTATTTTATTTAAAGCAGCATTAACAAAGAGCACAACCTTGGTACAAGTGTCACATCTCTGCATGTCTTCCTGAACTGTCTCAGCTCTAGACTGTGGGCAGAACCCAACCATTGCAAACAGGGCCTGCCCTGCCTCCCGCCCCAATGTGTGCAGTGTGACTGCCTTTTGGTTCCTTTTATCTCTTCAGAGATCCTGTGAGGGGCCCTCAGCTCTGGAATTTATTCCCCACTTTGCTCAAAAACAACCTCTCATAATCTTTGACCTTCTGCATAAGCTGTGAGGCCCAAATCCAAGGACTTGTTTTGGGAAAGGCATACGAAAGGTTGGCATTTGTGGGTGTGGTAGGAAAGCATGTTGTCAACAGCTGATTTAGCCCTTGGTTTATAATTTCCTCACATTGTGGCAGTTCTCAGTATGGCAGTGTAAACTTAACCTGTAGAGACTTGAGCTTTCTTAAATGGTCATAAATTGAAAAACAAAAATGCATTGAAACCAACCCGTGTGTGAATGATTGTGCGTTTGTGAACAAAGTGACCTTGCAAACAAGTACATCATAAGTCACTTTTGCTAAATGGATCCTTCTAGCCTTGCAAATCATGCAAGTTGTGCATGTATTCTTGGGGTACCGTCAACATACGCAAGCTAAACGGAGTCATTGGGACTGCTGATAAAGGAGTGAATAGCACTCTAATTAGCTGAAAATACTTAAAATACAGCCTTAGCTATGATGCAACTGAAAGGCTGGCAGCAAAAATCTATTAAAACAGCACTACTATGCCATACTACTAAAGTTCTCGTCTATCACCTTTAAATATTTTAATCTGAGATTCATTAAAAGCTGTCTCTGCTGCTCTAACTCTTTGGATATAAACAGATTTGTTAATATTTTATTTCAAACCCACCCACGAAGTTACATTCATTTACATAACTTAATGAAAGCTGCATTATTCATTGAACTTCTCATATAACATTTTTCATAAGACATTATTAAACAAGTGAAGCAAGCTGGTCTAGTAATGAGCCTTCTCTAAACTTGCTGCCAGTTATGTTTCCTTTCTCCTAATCTATCACTCTAATGGTTGCAACTAATAAACTTTTCGAATCTTTGCTGCTAATCTGTATATGTTTTGCATTGCATGCTGGATGTATAACTTGACAGAGAATTTACAATACAAACCACCTGGCAAACAAAACTATCTGCATTAACAATGGCTATCCAAACCTAGCCACTCTTTTTTGTTATAATAGAGAAGACAACTACATGTGACTTAGTACATTTAAGCCATAAATAACATAACCCATTTGGGGCTGGAGCGTATCCTACAGAGTAGTATGTCCCAAACACAGGATTTGTGACTACCTTTTATATTGCAGAAGCGTTACCAAAAATCAATAGAAGCATTACCAAGAATCAATAGATTGAACTTTAACTTATGCGAATGTACAGCAGACGTAGTATTGCATAGAAGAGACTGTTCCAACAAAGGCCTATGTAACAATTACAAGCTAAAAAACTCTAGGAATGGGTGGCTTGCTTAATTTGGGACCAATCCAAAAGTAGTTGGATTTTCAAGAATCCTCAGCAGTGCAGCTCTTTAAGATACACAGCATTATTTGATTATTTGTAATTCATGAAATCAACTCTAATTAAAAAAAACAACAACAACAAGAAACACTGAAGTGTGAACTTAAGGGTCTATTTTCATGCACATTAATTTTTAACCATACTCTTTCATCAGCACCCACATTGAAAAACTAATGCCAACGTGCAGAATTAGCACAGCACAGCACAGCAGCATTCTATTTTCTAAGCTAACTAGATACAGATCTATAAAATCAGTTTAATAAACTTCCTGTGTTCCTTAGGTAGGCAAGTGCTTCTTGAAAGCCAAGGTTGGAATATTTTACATATTATGAAGCATTTTTCTTGGTACCCTTCCAAAGATCATTCTAAATCACTGACCAGATGAAAACAAGAAAACACACAAACAATTAAATGGGGTAGAAAGAAAGGCAACATTTCTGTCAGTCTCATTTTGCAAGATCCAGGAAAAGACTCCCGTAGAAAAGACAAAACAAACAAAAAATAAAAAACATTAGAAAAGTGCAAAACCTTAAAACTCGTACTGTCCCTTCAATGGGTGTTTTAATGAATCAGAACAGAAAGAAATCCTTTCTTGTCTTGTCTGCTGAAAGTAACATGACTGTTTTTAAATTCCACTAGGACAAAATGAAATAAATCTGATCAAACAATTAAAAATCAAGCAATACTATTTTATTTCCACTGAAACTACAGTGTTTGTTTGCAATTTTTTCTCTTGCTCATATAACCATTTTCAAGTCAGCATTACCTGTCCTAGCCTGATCTGGAAATACTAGTGCCTTTCAACCAGGAACCGATTTACCCAGTAGCATTCCTCAATGTCAGTTCACACCAAAGTCATTCTTTGATGTCATTTTATCCAAGGATGGCTATAACTGCATGCTGTTAACAAGAACCACGCATCAAGCACTGTGTGGAGGCTTCAGAAACTCTTAAGCGCTTGGCTGCTGCAGCCTTAGCCCATAGCTGCCCAGCACTGCTGGGTGAGTAGAGCCATGTAACCATGGCAGAGCTCACCTGGGGCTGGGCTACACACCCACCCTGCCACATACAGCTGCTTGGGGAGATTAGCAGGGCTGTAAAACCTGCTCAAGAAGTAGGGCAAATATTTTAGCAATTAGCCCACACCGAGCTCTGTATTACTGCAGCTACACTGCTACCAGTTTTGGGAGTTGCTTGTTGAAAACTAGCTCCTGGATGCCTAAATTACACAGCAGTGACAGACCATTGAACTCCAAGGATGAATTATACGGGGGCAGTGCCTAACATGGGTTATGCTGTCATGATTTACAACAGCTGAGGATGTACCCCCAGATGTTCAGACAAAATCAAATTAAGTGTATGATCCTTTTTTTCTCCAAACATAAAATCCTTGTGACTCTGAATGAAAAATATAAAAGGAAACAGAGAAGTGTATGGAAGATCATAGGCTTACACCATTAAATAGGTATGTATTCTCCAGACACCACTAGATTCTCATTCTTTATAAAAATAAAGTGTAAACTAAAATAATGAAAAACCATTCAAGGCATTCCCACATATGAAGAAATTTAGTTAAGAATAATAAAGCATTTCTAGGATATTAGCTCCTATCAGGATCTGCAGGATGTTGTTATGTTAACAAGGACAACATTAAAGAATACCAAAGTGAGAGATTTGCTGTTCTCTAGACTTCTGGATCATCTCCAAACTGGGATCAGGGATTGCAATTTTCTACCACTACATTGGTGACAAATGGGTCTTAAACTGAGATCACTGATCAAATGCCAGAAGAGCACAATTGTACAGGACACTGGCACAGTGAAAATTATTTAAGATTCTGAATACTGCCAAGAAGACCTAGGCTCAATCTAAAATGAATATCTCTTTCATTTTAAGACTACAGCAGCTATGCTCATCTTTAAATGGAAGTCATAAATAAGGTCTTGTATGAGAAGTTTGTGTATGAAGCTAGCATTTTAAAAGCATATCAAATGTATCATAGAAACATCTCCTAAAATAAACCCAAACCTCATAGGTGCTATCAAACAGCTGCAGTGATTTTGATCAGCTTAACACCATCCGTAATTTTGACCTTGGGAGACCATAATGAAAAAGTGAGCTCAAGAAAAAAAAAAAAAATCATATGTTTCTAGAAGTGGTCACGACACCAAATTACATGAGTTTACTTTGTAGATGTTTATAGAGCTACCCGATGTTGTTTGACTTTTGAAGGAAGACTAATCGATGTAGTAATGGGGCAGTGGGGGGGGGGAGGCAGAAAAAACCTTATGGTTAAGGCAAAACAGGGGTCATGCCCAGGGCATTTTATCTGCCCTGCTTACATAGCCCTGGGGAATTGCATCTCAGCAGTTGATTCCCTGTTAATCAATTCACATTAGTGCCTGACTTTTAGTTTTCACTTTGCTGAATTCCAGGAAAGTTCTTAAACCAAATGCACACTCTATCTCTGACCTACGCAGAACTGTTGCATTTCAACAAGAAATCACAGTGGATTTTATTTGCTCTAACAGCTGATAAGAGACACCTTTGTAAGTAAAGGCTCATGGACTGCAGACTCAACACAGAACAAGAGCCAGTGCTCTTTTTATACAGGTCAGCAGTAACACAGGAGAAGAGAACCTTCATGGAGTTTTTTTCTCCCTACCTGTTTTCTCCAGTTCCAGATTAACACTTGTGTTACGTGCCATTCTTCTGCTTTCCTTTACTTCCTTATTTACTATGTATCAACACTATGATAAAGAGACCCATAGCACTCACTGTCATACCACAGTGCTGAAACAATTTACTGTGCACAGGTGAGAAGCACGTGGAGTGCAGGAGGATAGGGGAGAGGTGTGAGCATAAAAACAGCAAACAGCATATCCACAAAAGCAAGTCTGATTGATATTTGAGCCCTTTAGACCTATTTTATCTGTCTAAGCTACCCTCTAGTATGCAGGTAGATCTTCATAGAGAGGATCTTCAAAAATAAACTTTATTATCAAACTTAAAATTCATACATTAAACATGAGGTCTAGACACAAATAATACTGAAAACCTCAAACCATAATGATTTAGATAATTTGGATGATAGCTAGTTGCCGTTGTTTCAAACGCCTTTGAGAATATTTCTGAATGCATACACCACAGTGAAACGTCTCGTCAAACATGTATCTGGCCAGCTCGCAGTAAGATTTTTAAATAGGGGAAAACTTATTTCTATAGAAATAAAATTATCTAATTATGAATCAGCGACCCATAATTGTAGTGCTTGGGAAAAATGTCACAGCCTTTTGAAATACTTAGACATAAATAACTACTGTACATTTACAAGTTTAAATATTTAAAGGCCTTCGTTACAATAAAAAGTTACTATGTACATATGAGATGTTATACAGAAATCCAGACGGAGGGAAGCGTTGAGCACTCAGATTTGGCCGCTGAAACCTATGAATTTGGCAGGCAGATTGTCCACAGGGTACACTATGGGGCCCGTTTTCATTGTAGGAGGTCCATTTAGCAGCTGCCAGTCACAGCTCCGCGCCAGCTCCACCGTAAATATTTTTAGAAGGACTTTTGCAAACTCTTTGCCTACGCAGCTCCTCAAGCCCCCACCAAAAGGAATGAAACTGAACCTAGAGGAGTCCTCCGGAGATGGAGACATGAAGCGGTCCGGGTTGAACTCATCCTTGTCAGTAAAGAGATCGGCCACATCGTGGGTATCACAGATACTGTAAATAACGTTCCAGCCTTTGGGGATCTGGTATCCCTACCAAAAGAAGAGAGAGGAGACATGAAGCATGTTGCTTTGTTAAGGAAGCTGAAGTGTCAGCATGTGACATGCAGGTGTACCCTCTGGTTCCCCCCGCTCACTAAGGCAGGTACCTACAGAACCACATTCACACTTGGCAGTGCTATGAGGAGCTGAGCCCCAGCCCTACTTACATTCAGCTCAAGGGTCTTGAGTGCTATTCGGAATCCTCCAGGAACAGGAGGGCTCAGCCTGAGGGTCTCCTTGATAACACAGCCTGTGTACTTCAGCTGCTCCAAGGCCTCCATGTCCAATTGCTTCTCTTGGTTGGGACCAGACAGTAACCCCTAGGTAGGAAGATGCTGCCATGACATTTATAGAACAGGCTCCAGGCACCGCAAGACAGCTGTCCCTCAGCTAATGGTGTTTCCCTGCCACCCTATAAGTAGGGAACCTCCTGTGTCAAGGGGAACCCATCCTGGGACACCTCTCTGAGGGACTTTCCTACTGTCTGCTTGTGGGAAGTGGCTGTGGAAAAGACACACACCTTTACTTGCAGCTCCTTCCTCACTTTCTGCAGAACATCGTGGTGGAGCCCCAGGAAGGCGATCAGCGATGTGGCGGCACTGGCAGTGGTTTCATGGCCCCCAAACAGCAGTTCTGTGGCAGACTCCTTCAGCTCCTTACACACAGGACAGGAGAGAGAAAATATGCCTTGAGTGTGGTATCCCCACTGGGCTCACTCCACCACCAGTGCTGCATGGTAATCTCTGGCTGGAGCGGGCACCCGGGAGCCAGGGTGGGCGGTAGTCCCCACAGGCACAACCCTACACCTCTCATCCAGCAGCCTGGCTGCATCATCTGTCCCCAGGACTCTTGTGCACTACACAGGCTGCTTTATGACCTGGCAAAGGGACAGCAACTCCTGCTCTCCATTTTTAGTCCCAAAGATAAACATGGTGCTGACTGAGGGAGAAAAGCAGGGTGGGAAGAAATGGATCTGGATGGGGGGGAACCTCACCTGCATATTGAGCTGCTCTCCATTACCCTGTGTGTGCTCCATCAGCAGCTGCAGTGCATCCTTGTAGCCACTCTCGGGCTCCTTGCGGGCCATCTTGGCACGGATGTTCTCCTCAATCTTGGCATGGATGATGTTGCGTGCCCTCAAGCCCTGTGCAAGCAGGGGGAGAGTGAGCTGGGACTTGTGCCACACCAACAACTTACGCCACGCTGCCGACTTATACCACACCGCCATCCCTCCCTGCTGCCCTGGGAGCATCCCTAGCTGGCCTGGAGCCTCACCCGGTAGAGCCCACTGAAAGGCACATCGATGGGGAGGGAGAAGAGGTTGCGGATCATCTCCTCGAAGGCTTCCACCAGCTGCTGCTCACTGTCATGGCCGGCTTGGCGGGGCTGGAAGCCCAGCAGGATGCGCATAGCGATGCGGAACATGAGGCGCTTCACCTCAGGGTACACCAGCAGGCAGGGCCCGGCGCCCAGCCACTGTGCCAGGCAGGCACTCACCTCCTCTTGGATGACGGGCACGTAGTGCTGCAGGGCGTCCCGGGAGAAGGCCTGCATGATCACCTGCCCGGGGGACAAGAGGAAGGGGATACGGGCTCAGCTGCCACATGCGGAACAGCTGCCCCGCTCCCAGCCCACCGTCGGGGCGGTACCTTTTTGCGGTGTTTGTGCTGCCCATTGTGGAGGTTGGAGAGGCAGCCCGAGCCCAGGATGGTGCGCACCGAGGCGGGCCACTGCACGGAGACCAGGCGGTGCTCGCCCAGCAGGATGTGCCGCACGTTCTCGGCGCCCATCACCCGCACCGTGGGCCGCCCGAAGAGATGAGTCTTGTAGATGAAGCCGTATTTCCTGCGCTTCATCTGCAGGAATTTCCGCCGCTGGACAGGGAAGGGAAGTAAGTAAATTTAAATAAATAGATAAATTTAAAATAAATAAAAGGGGAGGAGGGAAAGAAAGAAAAAAAAAAAAAAGAAGAAGAAGAAAGAGCTCATCCACACCTGGGCTCAGAAGCCCGGCACAGCCCTGCTCAACCTCATCCCTTGTGGGGAGAGGGGGAGCTGCCCGCCTTACCTGCAGCACCATTTGCAGCGTCTCCCCGAAGAAGGGGAGCCCCATGGTACCCGGGGGCAACGGCAGCGGGCAGCTGGGGTCGCGGCCGCTGGCGCAGTACAGGTCCCAGAGCCGGACGGCGGCCAGGAAGAGCAGCAGGGGCAGCAGGAAGGTGCACAGGGCGCTGGCGACCAGGGCGGAGAAGCCCATGGCGGGGCAGCAAGTCCGGTCCGACCCGGCCCCCCGGGAGCTCCGAGTGCGCGGGCCAGGCTCTCCGCGGGCCGCCTTTTATACCCTTCCCAGGTTGCTGCCCACCCTACCTTACCATCCGATAAATTAGTTCACCCAAAGTTCATCTTTAATTGCGGATTGCGGCCTGGCTCCTCCCCCCGAAATCTTTAACCGTTTGCTTTGCGCGGCGCATCCCGCCCGCTGCAGACGGCCGCCGGGCAGACGGACGGGGTACTGCGGGACCCACCGCCCCCTCGGATTTACCGCCGCGCTCCTCAGGGACCGGCAGCACCGAGGCAGAGACGTGCCCCGTCGCGGCGACACGGAGCCGACCGCCGGGAGGCATCCACCCGCGGGGCGCTCCAAGCCCCCGTGGGGCTCCGTCGCCGGCCCTCTCGCCGCCGATCGGAACCCCTTGGTAGCCGGGCTGAGGGCGCTGCCGCTCACCGGGGATATTCTGTGGCTCCCCGGGCAGAGCCGCGTCGGCGGAGGTGGCTCCGCCGTCCCCTGGCTCACCTCGGAAGGCCCAGCTCGTGTTTCTGCCCGGCCGCGGAAGAAGGAGCGGCGGGCAGCGCTCCGTCTCGGCCTCCCGATGCAGGTTCAACCGCGGGTCACCGACGGAAAGGGAGGTGAGCGCGGAAAGGGAACACCCTGTCCGCTGCGCTCGGCTCCGATCTCCACTGCCCGCCCTCGCCCCGGGCTCGCCGGGGCTGCCGCGGCCGTGGAGAGGCGCTCGGCACGGCCGTACCCGCCGGGTGGGCTGCGCTCCCCTCCGGGGTAGCCCCGGGGTTCGACGTGCGGGAGGAGTGCGGCTCCGGGGCTGCGAGAGCTGCGCCCGATGGGCTCCGCTGGGGCCCGCGCAGAATAACCTCCAAGGGACGCGGCCGCCGGGCACTGCGGGGATGCGGAGGGAAGGATGGGGCCGCGGACCTCTCCGCTACCACCAATAAACTATCGTGATCTCTTCCCCTCCCTTTTATCCCTCCATTTTCCTATCCTTTTTACTTTTGCTTTCTTACTCCTACCACGACCTCAATAAACGCTGGAAGTTGCATGTGTGCGTGTTTGTGTCTACAGGGGTGGTGGCGCTGGCGAGGCGTCATTTTAAATTAGTACTTTTCTGACGCTCGGCGCGCCGATGGGGACCTTCCCTCCCTCCCCATGTGGCCGCCCGCAGCCCCTGCCCGGGCGGACCCTCGGGGCAGCCCTGCGGCGCTCGGCCCGGAGCGGCGGCCGCGCCCTGACCCGGCGCTCTCCCCTCGCCGGGCGCTGACCCGCTCGTGACCTACAACACGGACCGTGACATCTGCGTGAACCCGGCCGGCAACCGCGCCAAGTTCACTGTCTGTCAAAATAACGAGATACGGTGGCCTGAGCACCGATAATTGCCGCAGGAAGGCTTTATTATCTCCCCAGCTGTGTATTCCGCAGCCATCGGCTCGAAAAGAATCAAATGCTAAAGAGTGAAAGGGATAATTAAAAACATCTTGGAAGGAGGTCAAGAAATTAACAGCCTGATATGAACAAACTTTGATTACAAGTAACAATTATTACACTTCATTTGTAAATGCTCATGTTTATCTGAAAACAAAATCAGTTTCGAGTCTTTTTTTTTTTTACTAGATCTACGTTACACGTTTCAGTGGGCGGCTGTGGGGCTCGTTAGCGCTCGGGGTAATTTTTAAATGTGCTGCTGGAGGAGCCCCAGTGCTCCCGTGGCTGAAGCCCACACGTCCCTCATGTTCCTCATGTCCCCCAGGTCACTGCCACACCGGCGGCCCCCGCAGCGGTCACCCAGTGCCACCTGCAGCCACCGCTTTCCTTCCGATAGCTGGGGAGACGCACTTCTCAGGACAAGGTCAGGAGGGGCAGAGGCTCTGGTTCACAATGGGGTCGAGCTGCCAACAGCACTTAACTCAGTCCCGCGGTTCAACCTCTTCCAGATATGACTCGCCACATTTGGGAGCCACATTTTTGCTGCAGGCAGCACTGCACCCCGCTGCGTGCCCCAGCATAGATGTGTGATGGGGACCAGCCCAGGCAGGGTGGCTTTCAGCCTGACACTGACACCAGGCATTCTGAGCACAAGCAGCAGGACTCACATCACTGTATGCAGGAGAGACTCATACCTCAGTGAGGCACTCAAAAGCCACCTGAAAATGTGTCCCCAGCTCCTGGGCTCGGCCCCAGGCACCACTGCAGTGCCCTAGAGCCACCAGTCAGTGCTTACACATAGGGCAGGGCTGGGGCAGGGTCACGGCTGCCCTGTGACAGCCACCATAGCCCCATACAGATGTCCTTCCATCATGTTCCAGCACCAGCAGGAGCACGGGATGTGCCCTCACAAAGCAGGCCTGTTCAGAAATTTCCCCAAACATTTCCCAAATGTTTCCCAAACATTTATTCACCACAGGTCTGTGCCCCATGTCAGGTTGCTCTCTGCATCCTGCAGAGACTCGGGATGAGGCTGCATGTCAGGCCCCAAGCAGCAGTTTGGCACTCAGGCACTGCACGCACAGCCACTGGGTCAACAAATGTCTCATTTGCGCTGGCTCTAATAGGAAGTGCAGGAAAGAGATGAAATATTTACAATAGAAACCTCTTGACACAAGTTATCCTACCTACAGCTGATACTGTGAATTGGGCAGATGTAGTGTGTGTTTTCCTGCAGAGCCCTCATCTTCCCTCTTTTCCACCTCTAGAAAGCTGTGGTGTGCAGGACAGGGTGTGCAGGATGGGGTGTGCAGGATGCTCTTGCCTTTCCTTCACACACCCACTGGAGAAAGCCCTGGGGCAGGAATGGGGCTTTGCTCCTCAGAATGTGTGTGGGGCTGGGCTGGTGGGCCCCCCCAGGGGGGTGAGGCTCCCCTTGGTGCTCAGGGCTCTGTGGGACTATTCCTAATGCACTGAGCATCAGAAAGGGGAAAAACAACGAGGCCTTCGGGGCTTTGCTCTGTAGTGGCCCAGCCATGAGCACCGCCACCGGGCTGAGCTCAGCAGTCTGGCTCAGGCCTCACCGCCACGACTGGGCCGCAGGGGGTGGAAGTAGAGCTGCAGCCCGTCGACGGGGTGCACGATGGGCACGGTCTGCATGGCGGGAAAGGTGGGGGTGGCCAGTTCCCAGCGGGCTGTGGTGACCAGCTCGATGGCCAGCAGCTTCAGGATGGCCTGCGCCAGCTCCTTGCCGATGCAGCTCCGCGCCCCGCCGCCAAAAGGGATGTAATGGAAGCGGCCGGCAGCCTCCGGTTGGGTGACATTGAAGCGGTCAGGATGAAAGCCACCTGAGGGGCTCTGGTAGATGGCAGCCGTCTCATGCGTGTCACGGATGCTGTACATCACGCTCCAGCCCTTGGGGATCTGGTAACCCTGTGAGAGGAATAGAGGGGAGAGTTAGGGCCCAGTGGAAGGCATCGGGGCCAGCCCCCCTTCTCCCTTTTCTGCAGGCACTTACATCCAGCTCGAAGGTCTGCAGTGCAGTCCTGTACCCCCCAGAGACTGGCGGCAGTACCCGCAGCACCTCCTTGACCACACAGTCCAGGTAGCGCAAGCGGCTCAGCTGTTCCAGGCTGATGTCCGGGGGGCAGTGGCAGCCCTGGGGCTGGGGGCTGCTCAGGGGGTGTGTGGGCTCCAGTGGGGCTGGGAGATGGAGAGAGCAGCCACCCCTCAGCTCTGTCTCCTCTACGGGGTCAGGGGGCTGGTTCTGGTCCTCATGAGCATCGCTGGCTGTGCTAAGGAGTTGCTGCTCACTGTCCCTGTCTGCTGCTGGGCAGAGTGCCATGGGGCAGCTCTGGTGCTGTGGGTACAGCTCATGGGTTGCCAGCTCCTGACGGATTTTTTCAATTGCTGAGGGGTGTTTTAGCAGCAGAAGGATGAGGGAGGTGCTGGCACTGGCCGTGGTGAAAAAAGCAGCAAATATGAGCTCAATGGCTGACTCCTGGCAGGGAAGAAAAGTGACAGGTTTGAATGCTACTTTGAGCTTGTTGTGATAGGATTTTCAGACTGTTCTCAGCTTTCACAGATTTTGTTCCTGTGCAGAGGACCCCACCTCTGCCTCCACTCTCTACTGCCTGCACCCCCCAGGGCTGACAGGGATCTGCATGTAACATATCCATGCTCATCCAACCTCCACACAGAGCAGACATCCACCTGCCTAGGAACTGATGCCAAAACAACTAAGCACACATCTCTTCCATTCTGGATCTTCTCAGTTTGCTGCCCCAAATTTACAAACCTTAACAAGAATTTCAGCATGCATTTTATCATGAAGAGTGATGTTCATTTTAAGCATTATGTTTTTTACCTTCATCAGCACTTTTCTCTGCCTCCCCTGCAGCTTCTGCCTCCCGGGACAGCCAGGAGCAACGAGGTTGCATGTTCACGTACAGATCAAGATGCACTGGCAGCTAAAATGGGCTCCATTCAATCCATCTTATTGTAATTAACCATTTGCTTGTGTGAGAGGGGACTCAGACCAATGCTCAGAAGCAGAAAGTTAAGAGTTTCTGGAGCTAGGTCTGGAGGGTAAAGCCAGAAGCACAGGGAAGGACACCTGATGTCTTAAGGCTCCTGGATCCAAGTCTGGAAAGGTCAAAAGTAATGCAGCAAAGATTTGCAACCATCATCAGCAACATACATTGTCTGGACTGCAGGCTTTTGCCAAGATGTAGCTCTCAAGAGCATCTTTCTGCTGAAATAAAACCTCTGAAATAACAGGTCCCTGCTGACCCCTGCACACCTCCTGCAGGCAGCAGCCGGAATTTTTACACCCACAAGACAGCAGACACAGATGAAAATAAATCTGTGAGTTCCACAGCTTGCAATTAAAAGCCAGGACATTACAATACAGCACAAGAAAATTAGAGCAGGCTCTGTATTTTGAAATAATAGCCCTTATGACTGCCTGCATCAGCCTCTGACAGTGCTGCCATGTAAGGGGTGACACCGAGAAGCTTACTTTCTCTCCCTGCTTTTACAGTGCCAACACAACTGGTGATAGTGAGGCTGCATCTTCCCACAGCTGCCTCAGTGTGTCCCAGTGCTGCAGCTCAGCTGGGAGCAGTACCACTGAGCCAGGGACAGCCACCCCAAGGTCACTGCCATGTCACCCCACACTGTGTTCAATATCTGTGTATTCCTGCTGTTATCATCTCACCTGTGGTCAGAGCCAGGGACACGATGAGAGATCATGTAGTTATTCTTATGCAATACACACATGAATACTCACAAAGTTCAACCCAGACTAGCTGATCACATTTTGTGTCTGGGAATTAGTTTTAGTTATCTTGAAATATACCAGTTCTAATTGCATCTAAGAACCTCTGTAATGTCTTCCAAACACTTCAGAATTTAGAGATTACACTTCTACAAAATATGTACAAAACATTTAGCATTGGATCACTATACTTAAATATCTAAATAAACAGTAAAGCCATGTGTCCTCTGTGTTTAAACTGTACCCATGCAAAACTACTTCAAAACTTGCCACATAGATGCAATGTCATGTCCCTGCCTCACCCGGAATGACCTGGAGGTATGAATGATGCAGCACTAATGACAATTTTTTTCCCAAGACCTTTGGCAAAGAGTTCTTCACCACATTTTGTCCCAGCGAGGACTGCTGGGTTCATCCCTAAGTCACAGCGATGAATCATATTGCATCACACAGTCCTCAAGCTCCCCAGTGTAATTAATAAGGAGGTGATAGGGAATGTCCCAGAACCCATCATTCCAGCCCAGGGCCCGTTTTGATGAGTTCTCTGGGCTCCCAGCCCTGAGGAATGGAGTGACATGATCTACAAGCACACTGCCCTGGGCGCAGCTCTATGTATTTCCAGGACAGCATCCTGGAGGTTATCAAGTGCACACTGATGTACAGAGTCTGAGCACCGCCATGTAAGTCTAAAATGCATCCTAAGCCAGGTTGAGGCCAGATGCCTGTGAAGAGGACAGGCAGAGAGGCATTTGTTTCCATTTTAGGCTCCAGCTCTATTGTAAGGCAGAGCCCCACCAGCAGTCCCACACAGCCCTCTCCTGCCACCCCTCTGCCCCACACTCACAGCCACCGGCTCAGGAGGGAACTGCGCGGGGCTGCGGTTACCTTCAGCTCCTGCATAGTGAACTCTTTGCCGTGCTCCTTGGCACTGTTTATTATGAAATCCAGAGCATCGCTGTGTTCTTCTGACATGGCTCGCTGCAGTTTCTCCTGTATGGCCCTCTCCATGAACTCATGCAGCATGTCTCGTGCTTTGATGCCCTGTGGGAGGCAGACACAGGTCAGGGGAGCCTTGGGCACCGTCCCCCTCTCTGGAGAGGCTGGGGGACTCCCAGTGTGGTCAGCTTTAATTCCAGGATCTGCAAAGCGGAGTTAGCCCGCTGCCTGGCCCCAGGGCCTTGCAGTAGGCAGCAGGTGGTGAGAACTGCTGAGGATTCACTGGCTTCCTGCCGTGAGTCAGTACAAGCCCTAGGAAAGGCTTTTGGAGGAGTTGACAGCAGCAAATTCGTGGTACTGAATCCAGAGAGGTCTGCACCAGACAACTCCTGGCCTGGCCAGGTCCCAGCGAGAGGGTGAGGTCACTTAATAAAGACGAGCCCTGGAAGCAGGGCACTGACAGTGACAAATGAGGGGCTTTTCCAGAATGGGAACATGTTAATCACACCCGGCTAATCTTTGGCTGTGCAGCAAAACCAACTGAGGAGCAATGTCCTCACAGAGCAGGAATGGATGGAGGCAGGAGGCCTCCAGCAAGGCTAGAAGGACCGAGTGGTTAGGGGCAGAAATGGCCACAGCCAGCAGCTGGGAAGTAGTTACAAAGGAGAACCCAGGCAGGAAGGACTTGAGTAAAGGAAAAGGGGCAGTGAGCAAGAGGAGGTGAAGAGATTGGTCTGGGGTCAGCTGAGCTGAGGAGGCAGGAAGGGACAGGTGGGTGGTAGAACCTCACGCTGGTGACAGCTGAGGGTGGCGGGGAAGGTGACGGCAAGCAGAGTTTGCAGTGGAAACGAGGTTGAGCAAGGCCTTGATGGAAAAGGCAAGCAGTTTGGGCTGTGGGCCCAAAGGGGAAGAGAACCCAAAGCCAGATGAGGAAGAGCAGATTGAAATGGGACAGGTGGCAAGAATGGGCAGGGCAGCAGAGAATGAACAGGGGCTGTGAGAGGCTGTCCCACTGCCGTGTTCCCCTCCAGCACTGCACCAAGCACCAGAAAGGGGTCTGCAACACCCAGCCTGCCCAAGGAGCACCGGGAGGTCACTCTGTGCCTCCTGCTCTCTTCTCACACACAGACCTCTGCCACAAGTGGGCTTGAACCCAGGGGGAATGCAATGGCATAGCAGCAGGTATTGGGTAAGCATAGCTGAGGAAAAGGCTCCAGCAACGCATGTGGCGGCTCCATGCTGTACCAGGGTCTATGCAGACAGGTGCTGGAGGCACCCAGCAGCAGGGTGGGCAGTGCCCTGGGCTCATTGGGGTGCCCCTTGTCGGGCCTGAAGATGGGGTCTGTGCAGCCACAGCCTGGCCCAGCCACGGGCAGGAGCGGGGCAGGCAGCAGTACCTTGCGCAGCCCGCTGAAGGGCACATTGAGGGGCAGGGAGAAGACGTTCTCCACCAGCTGTTCAAAGGTTTTGGCCAGGTCCTTGAACTGCTTTTCCTCCAGACGGAGTCCCAGCAGAATCTGAGCTGCAATGCGGAAAGTTAAGGTTTTAGCAGAGGAATAGACGGCGATGGAGCCCGGCTGCATGCACCAGCCCCGCAGTTCCCAGCTCACAACCTTCTGGATCCGTGGCAGGTAGCTTTCCAGGGCAGCGCGGCAGAACGCTCTGGCCAGGATCTAGAAGCAGAAGGGGGGAAACAGAGGCAGGCAGTTAAAGCACGGGTCCTCGGCATGGTGCTGAGAGCCGAGCATGGGCAGGAGTTGCCCGGCCACACACCTATGGGGCTCACCTTGCGGCGCTGGCGGTGCTGGTCGCCCGTAGAGCCGAGCAGGGTGTGGGAGCCCAGGAGGATCTGGGTGCTCTGGGGCCACTGTGCGCTGACCAGTGTGTGCTCGCCCAGCAGGATCTTGCGGACGTTCTCGGCACCCGTCACCCGCACCACCGGGCGGCCCAGCAGGTGGGTCTTGAACACGTTGCCGTAGCGCTCCCGCCGGGAGCTGTGGAAGCGGGAGCCCTGGGGACGCGCCGCGGGTCAGCTCGGGGCTCCCGCCGGCCCCCGTCCCGTCCCGTCCCCGTCACCCCGCGCCTCACCTGCAGCAGCCAATGCAGGGTCTCCCCGAAGAAGGGCCAGCCCATGGAGCCCTTGGGCAGCGGCAGGGCGTTTGTACGGTCTCGGCTGAGGCTCCAGCGCAGCGCCCACAGGTGCCGACACAAGGCGAGCAGTAGCGCCAGGAACAGCAGCGCAAGAGCAGCCGCCGCGGGCCAGCAGAGCCCGGCCGGCATCCTCCCTCCTGCGGCGCACCGCGGGTCCCGCTCCCTGCCCCGCGCCGGGAGGGCGGGGAGCGGCGGCGGTGCCCGCCCCGGCGGCTGCCACGCGCGGGGCCGGGAAGGAGACGGCGAGCAGAAAGGCCCTCCCGGCTGCGGCCCGCCCGGCCCCGCTCGCCTCCTGCACCCGCTTCTCCCTTCGGCCACATTTATATAGATATTGGCCACTTAACGCCCGATCCACCTTCGCAGATGACGTCTGCCCTGCATATTTAAGCAGCGCAGCTAAGTGCGGTGATTGGAGCCGGAGAGCCGGGATTGATGGAAGGGGCGCGGGGCGATCGGGGGCGGCAGCGGCTGCTCCCTGCGGGCTGGTCCTCGGGGCTCTCCCCCCACAGCCCGACCCGGCCCAGCTTTCCCGTCCCAACCAGAACCGGGTCGGTTCCCCGCTGCGCCCCGCCGCCGCACGGCATCGCGGCCCGACCCCATAACGCCCCGGTCCCACTCCGCAGGCGCGCCCCGAGGTAAATCACCGGGAGCCGCGCGGCTCCCAGCGAAGTGCAGGGCCGAGCGCGTGTTAATACACGAAATCAAAGGCAAACACGGGTAAGGTTTATATTACTGTATTTAGACGGTCAATAACTTAAAAATACAGCGAAATGTACATTATTTTTACATTTGGTTTGTATCTGTTAGACATTCTCCCCATGTCTAAAATTGCCAGGAGGTGACAGTGCACAGTGCCTGGCCTGGGGCACTCCTTGCTGGGATGGGGCGTTCGGACCAACACAGGCAGCACAGAACCAACAGCGGCAAATCTATTCCTTACCGCGCCCTGGGGAGAGCCCAGGATCTTAAAAAGTACGGTTAGAAATGGTCACCCTGAGGAACAGAACCCAGAAAGTCACATTATAAAGAACTCAGATGGTTATTTACAATCAGAAACTCAAGATTAAACTCTTTCAGAGAACAGAGCCTAAAAGTCCTAACACTAAATAAAACCAAGCCTAGTGCTTGGGGAGTTCTCAAAGGTACCAAAAATCGGAAGATTTTCTCATACCTCCAGACTACAAAATTCAGTATACAAAATGATGTCCGATCACCTTAAGGCTACCATACATTTAATGCAGGAAATTGACAGGCAGTATCTGAATGCGGGGATCTCAGCACTTAAAAAAGAAAAAGAAAAAAGAAAAAAGAAAGCAGAACAAAAAACCCAACACATTAAATTAGGATTCATCCTGGAACCAGCAATAAAGGGATCATTACTCAGATAATTCCTGCCCAGAGCAACACTGCAAACATCTTGTCTGCAGACACTTAAATAATGTATTTACAGTTCAGCTGCCCCACGTTCAATGTGATAGAGCTGGTTTTATTGTACAGTCTCATTTTTCACCATTTGTTTACAATATACAAAATAGTTTTCGATCCGTTAAAAATTCATACGAAGAACATTTGCTGAGGGCCCCATGTCTCTGCCATGGGCTGCACTTTTCCTTTACCCAGTCAAATAAATGTCCCAACTGAGAGCACTGCTGGGCAGAATGAGTGGCTCTGAAATACCTCTTGGCATGGTAAGGATCAGTTCTGTAGCAGCAGGCCTATGTGTGCTGGGACATGCCATTCACCAGGCTCCTGAGCTGCTTCACCACAGTCTCAATCAGCTTTTGCTTGTCGCGATCGTTCTTCCTGAACTGAGCAAAAATGTTGTTCTTTTTGCTAGAGTCTCTCATTCTGGAGGAAAAAAAAGGGGGGGGAGGGGGAGAAAGAGGGGGGGAATGGTACTGACATGTTAGAAACACCATTTGAAAAGGGAAAACCTGACTACTTCAGTAGGTTTCCTTTCATTCCTCTTCTGATCTCTGTACTGTAATGAACTGAAAGGTTACAAACCCATTATCTGTATGTTCTTAAATTAAACCTCTAGCACTCAGAGCTCGCAGTAACAAATATTACTTCCCAAATCACATTAGGCAAATCCCACTTCAGCGGGCGCTGCCCCTACAGCTGCGTAAAGAGGGAGGAAAACAAAGATCCGAGTGGAACGGCGGCTCTGGGCCGAGTTCAGGCTGCACCAACTGCCCCACGGCTCTACTACTGAGCTTCGCTTTCGAAGGATTTTAAAACGAAATTCGGAAAACGTAATAAACTGAAGAAAAAACATTCGGTAAGAGATAAGCGCTACGTACCCTCTGTGCACTCTGCAAAGCGCGGATCGTCGCAGGGAGGAGAGAAAAGAGAACACCGTTAGAAAAGCCCTTCAAGCCCGCGCACACCCCGCTTCAGCGGCACCGCCACGCGCCCGTCCCACCGCCTCTTCCCCGCGTGTCTCCCGGCGCGGCGGCAGCTCCGGCTCCGCAGCGGCTCCCGGCCCCGGGGCAGCGCCGCAGCCGCCGGGAGGTCGGCCCCGTTCCCGGCCCCGCAGCCACCCCGTCGGGGCCGGGTTCAGCCCCGCGGCCGGCACAGCGCCCGCACTTACTTCTCCAGGAGCGTAAGGGCCGTGCTGGGGTTGACCCGCAGGTACTTGGAGGTGGCCTGCCCGTAGTCGGCCAGGTAGGTGGACCAGTCCCACACCATGAAGAGGTCCAGGAGCTGCGGGAGAAGAAGCGGTGAGCGGGCGGCAGCCTCCGGCCGCTCTCTCCCCGGGGCCCCCTCCTCGCCCTCCGCACGGCGGGAGGCGGCGGCTCGGGGCCGGGCCCAGCGGGGGATGCCGGCGGCCCCCGCCCGGGTGCTTCACCGCGGGGAGGGAGAAGGGGATTGCGGCCCCCGGTGCTGCTCCCGGCCACCTGAAGGAGAGGCTCAGGTAGTCTTAGTTAAGTGAATTAAAGAACTCCCGCGGGGCTCTACGGTGACCGATCCCTACGCCTCTGTCCCGAGTGCACTTCTAGATCGAAAAACTCTCAACTGCTTCGACGGTGCAAGAAGAAAAACCCTGCAAGCAGAGATACGCACCCAGGCCGGGCCTTTCGCTCGCAGCCCCGGAGCTGCCGCTCGCCACCGCCGCCCGATGCCGGCCCTCAGCAGCCGCCGATGCTAACGGGGCACCTCCGCGTTCCCCCGCAGCCGGCGCCCGGCCTCCTCGTCCCGCGGCTGGAGGCTGCTCCGGGCCGCCCTGCGCCACAGCAGCGCCGTTTTACTGTTGGAACGAACCTCCCTTCCCGTTCAGCGTTTGCTTCTGCTGCCTGTAAGCTAGAGCGGGGCCGCTGCAGTAAGGACCCAACAGCACCAGCCACTGCACCTTCAACTCACATGTTTCTTTTCTCCTCTCCTTTCTAAACCCTTAAGTTATTTTCAAATAAAGTGTCTAATTTAATTATTTTCTAATTAATATATACAATAAAATGTTTTCTGAACACAGAGTAACACTTCCTATGGCACAGGTACTGCTAAGTCCTTTCAAAGTCCTGCAAAGACATTACAGACCTCAGTGACGTCCAGATTTTACATCTGAACACCTCTCTTGGGTGAAAGGCATATAAAAAGCAAGGAGGCTGTTCCATTCTCTGCTGACTACACATCCACCATAGCTGTCAAGGTCGAATACAAGCAGTTCTTTCTCATAACGTGCTTTCTTAGTATGGTCACCATCAATTTTCCTATTGATCTGTGGAGAATATGCTGTCAGTCACTAAGCAAACAGAGCTGGTCTGAGCTATCAGGCTCTGATAACCCAGGAATTAGCGGTATTTGTGAAGCCCCTGCCCTCACTGCTGTGTGTTACCTTACTACCTGTGCTGAGACAGCCAGCAGTGCCCAGTCCTCACAGAGGCTGTGCAGTGAACTCCAAACCATGATCAAAAGAGCAGAAAGTGGGACAGTCGGACAGACAACATGAGGGGGAAGATAAAGCTGACAGCCACAGGCACACAGGCTACATAAACTGGAGACTTCATGTTTCCTCTTTCTCATGAAGAAGCAAACAGAATGCATGAATCAATTACCACCAACTACAGAGCCACTTGTCATGGGATCCGCATGGAGAAGGTCCTTATAAAAGGACCAACGTTCTTGCAGCAGCTATGTTCAGCAAACCAAATTTGTAGGGGTAGGAAATATCCCCACAGCACTGACACTGTGGTCTTCTTACCACCAGTGTTCGAGTCACTCAGTGACAGTGGGGGTGGAAGGTCAGACCTACCAACCAAACACAGTCCGGCACGTAGGGCTCCAAAGGGGCTGCAGACACTGCAGCAGGTCACAGACTGCTGCTGTGCACAATTAGGTACGGTGGTTCGGTCCCCCCGACAGCCGCAGTGCCGCACTGTGGCACACTGCTGCACTCATGGGCTCTGACAGCGGGTACCGTACTGCAGGTGGACAGGAACTGCTAGGTTCTTTCAGATCTGTGTTCCCCTGCATCTGATGTGATGCTCGGGCAGCATACAGCCCATGTGAGCAGAAAGGCCTCTCTTAAGGTAGGACCGTCCTGAGCACACGCACGTGAGCTGGAAGACAGCCCATCCATACAAAGATGCTGACAGGTGTTTGGACTACTTCACGTAATTCCAGCTGGCCTACCTAATCCTGTGGTAGATGAATACGATGTTAGTAGAGCATAAAGATGCCTCGATCTTTATGTACAAGACCCTTGAAAGATAACAGGAGAGCATGAAGATGCAAAAAATCCATTTCTTTACCTCATGCAAACTGAAAGCTACGTGGAATTTATCATGAAAATTAACACCTGGCCATCTTCCTCAACAGAAGGAAAAAAACACCAAATTCTTCCCTGTATTTATGCTGTAATTTCATTTACAATAGACTTACATTGAAATGATCTTACGATGTGACAGGGACTGGGCGTGGGCAAAACCACAGGGAGAGGGAACTGCCTTTGGTGGTATTACAGCATTCAAGGTGAAGATATAATAGAAAGATTTTGTGGATTTGGCTCGAAGTGCTGACGACATACTCTTACTGCAGAGATGTAACATAGGGCAGATGTTAAATTCCACTGAAATAAAGAAGGCTGTAAATCTCCGATGTTTTAAAAACTGTGATCATTACTAGTGTGAAAAAAAAAAAAAAAATTATTGAGGGTAAGTCTAACTGTAAAGGTATTAATTTTGCCAACATGTATCAGCTACAATAACACAAAACATTTTGGGGATAAAAGGTGAGGTGAGCTTGTCACAAGGGCCTCTCCATTGGTCCTGTGATAGTTCTTATTGTGGCAACCAAAATCAAGCTGTTAGAGGCCAAATCAAAGCAATAATTCCCTATTGCTATTTTATCCACTAAATCTGCTATTACTGCAACAATAACTGAAAACAGGATGTGCTGTCCAGCAAGCAATATCCCACAATGGCTTGCACTGTAGTAAGAGCATCAGCAATAAATACATTTCTGCCTTAAAATAAATCAAAATCCATGCTGTAGCACAGCACACTCGCACTGCTGGCTGCTACTTCCTTGAGGTTAGAATGTGCACTGTTTGCACTTAAATTACAGTCAGAAAACCATTTTATTTTGTACATGCATCTCTTCATACTTAACGTGTACAGGAAATCCTTCAAACAGGACAGAACCAAACCTTTCCCTCTGCTCAAAGAGGCAGGGCAGACCATGGGATGTTAGCCAACCACCTGCTCACACCCAAGGTTCCACCCATGTCAGAACCAACTTACACGGCTAAGACACGGTGAAGCACCTATTAAGGCTGATATAGGTGCTCTGCTACACAAAAACAATGGTGCTCTTGTACTCTCTTTATCCCATAACAACCATGGAAAATAAGAATAAGCTAAGACAGGCAATGCTATATCTGAGAATTTTATAATGAAGCAGAATATGTTTCCCTAGGAGCATGGGAACAGTTCTTAAAGCCCTTCTGACTGCGAGCAACTAACTAGAATTTGCAGATAAGTGTGTGCATTTGTGAATCATTACCAAGAAGGAAACACAGGAAAAGCTCTACCCACACTCAAATGCAGTGTCAATAGACTGTCCACTGGCTAACATTTACAAGTAGACAGGCGTACGCCTATTCTAAAAGCGAGACAGAAGGGGAACTTTCACCCAGCATCTTGGGACATCAGAGCTGATGATCCCAAGGACAACATGTTCTCTTCACTGCATATTAAAGTGCTGCCCTCTCCACCACATTATTAGCCATGTATATACAGATCAATACACCTCAACTTGAGGCATCTCGTTGCCATGCTACACTTGAGTGATGCCCTACAAGCTTTGGATTTTCTAACTTTCTGTACTTACCTAAGTATTTCCTAAATATCTTTTTACAAGTCTAACATAAGCTTTTTCTATTCACCTTGAAAAAAAAGGTGCTTATTCATACTTCTGCTTACATAAAAGTATTATTACATAATTTCTTATAATTCTATATAATTACATAATTTGTTTTACAATAGACAATATTGCTTTTTTCTATAAAAATTTTGTTTTAAACACAATGATATTGTTGTAAAGGACACTAAACTACTTCTCAAACAAAAGAGGTCTTACTTCAAGACCTTGATAGCTACTGGCATTGGTTAACACAACACAACATTGATGCCACGTGAGAAAAAATGTCTTAAGATTTAAGGGGCAGAATTCAGGTTTCAAATAGGTTGCATCTATAATTCAAGTTCAGAACTCTTCCTTCCCCCAAAGTTTCCCCAAGGTGATATGGCCATGTTAGGGTAGAAATTAATGATAATCATTAGTCAGTAAAGTTTTGTTCTGTATTACCCGTACCCAAAGCCCTCAGTAGCTCACCCTTATTCCTGTATTTAGGCCATCTTGTAATTAAATGAGAATTTTAGGCACTTGGTAACGGCCAGACTCACCCATCCGGCCCTTTCAGTCCTGTCTGAGCCTCTGTCACATCCTCAGATATCATACAGATGCCCTTTCCTTTTTACTTTGGGGCAACTGTCAGGAATAATCTTGGGAGATAATGCGACTTTGGGAACCAGCTGTCCACAGAGCCAACACTGCGGCGGAGATGGGAGATGACGACGAGGGCTTTGCAGGAGGAAATGGGGTCAGTGTCCATTCAAATTTTTCTAGACAACACTGTTGGTGTTGTCTAATTTAAAATTCTCAAGATAGCTTAGTATGAGGTGGTGCCGTTACCTCTTCTGAAGTATCACAAGTGTCAGCACGTAGCTCTGGCTGGGCAGCAAAGCACCCACGGATCAGGAGGGGGAGATAAAAAAGAGAAGTTGTGCATCTAACATCCAGCTCACCTTCCTGTAAATCCCAATATTCCACCAAAAGAAAAGTAATTCTGAATTCAAAAAAATAATTCTGAAACACGTCACTGTTGGTTATGTCCTTCAGGCCTCCTTTCCACTCTCACAAGTGGAATGTTTTGCATGCTGAAGAGCTTATTAACCCCTAATCACCCAGTTACTTCTGGACTCCACTGCATGTGTAATTAACTTTTCTCAGGTACAATTTGCCTGACAAACATGTCAGAACACTTGCAGCTTAGTTTGTTGAAACTGATAAATGCTGTCTTTCCACAGCCCAGGGGCATAATGAACAGGAAAAAAAGGCAGTTATGGAAACACACAGAAGTGGATTCATGCCAGCGGAGCTCCCAGCCTGGGCCACATCGCGGCCCTGTGTGAGAGCGTGCACTC